TGTTCTGGGGAGAATATTCAACACTGGCTTACACAGCCGCAATTGGCGATTCGTGCCGGACGAACTCAGGAAGAATAAAAATGACACGCAGCTACTGAACGACTGAGATAGGGAACGTGATCTACATCGTCAAATGAGAAGTGGCGTAATGGGGCTTTCGCACGAGGCGATTTTCAGGCAACTTTTGCGTTCACCTCACGCCGGGTTGCACGAAAAAAAATTTGAATGACTAAAAATATCAAAATATAAAAAAAATATCAAAATATTCGCCATAAAAAGGCGTTTGCATTGTTCAACTTTGCGTTCTACTTTTAGTTGAACGGCCTTTCAACTAAATCGCTTTCAACAAAGTTGGTCGCCAGCCAACGTTCGCCTCGTGCGTACACCTTTTAGGTGTGCAATTACTTCGCGCCATTGACTAAACCGAGCTGTCGTGTGACGATTGGGCCTATGCGTCAAAGTCTCATTCGGAGACACTAGGATTGTGTTGTGGAGGACAATACCTAAATACCTTCGTTGGCTTATTTACCAAAACCATTGTACGCTTTACTTTACAGCGACTTGGCAGAATCAAGAGGTCTCCAAGAATATCGACAAATACATTTCGGCCTTTAAGGGAATTTCGTCTCTTTAGCCTACATTGAATTTCTGTAGTCCAACGATTCTCACCCATTTTGTCCTGTTGGCGCCAGCGAATGAAGAACAAACATTTCTTCAAATTTAAAAAGTAAAAATTTCACTACTAACATTTTAAAAATGTTCTTAAAACTTGCAAAGAAATTCGGAAAAGAAATATCACTGTTTTTGTTTTTAGGAGTAGGGTGGGAGTGTCATTGATAAAATTAGAGCGAGAGAAAGTTTTTCTTACAAAACCTTTCATTATTGAATCATGGGTAATACTTACATTTGTAAAATTTTGAATCCAATCAGAAAAATTCGTATATAGAAAAATATAAAAAAGAAGTATTGTTAAGTGCTTTCAAAAATAGTATTAAGGCGCAGTTAGTCAACGACGTAGCGTAAACGTAGGTTGACGTACGTAGCAGCATATACAATTTACTGTTGATAGAGAGAGAGAGAGAAACAACGGCAACGTCATCGCCATGCGGTGGTGAGTTTTCGTTAACACGCGAATCCCATAAGGTAGATCGTGTCTGCTGCAACCTACGTCTACGTTACGTCGTTGACTGTTTGCGCTTTTACTTATGTAGTTTTTACTTAACTTCTCCAGAACTTTACTACACTTTAATATATATGGATGTATGTAAGAATGTACATACATATATACAGCCTGTAAAATAGTAACAGTCGCACAATTTTTTTTGAAAAATGTAAGGCTACTTTATAGATTTTGCTCAGAAAGTATTTTATTGTTAATTATCCACAGAGTTTACTTTAATTGTATTAATTAGTTTTAAAATTTTAATCCTTATTTGCATTTTCCAGCACTGTAAAGTTTAATAGAAAAGCGCAAGTGGCACGAAAGTCTTCGTCTGCTCCATTTTGAGTCTTTTTTGTCCAACATAAAGCCTCATACTCAGAAATCGCAAAATCTCGAAAATGGTGATTAGAACTTGTTCACTAATATACCAACAATGTTAGCCTCAAAAATAGTCATGAACAAATGGGACCAAGTTAAACAAAAAACCAATATTCCGAAAAAGAAATTCCAAGAAATTTTAGAATTTTGCCTAAAAGACAACAACTATTTCATGTTCAACAAAAAACTATATTCACAAACGTTTGGAATGCCTATGGGCAATCCTATTTCCCCAACAATAGCGGACATAATTATGGACAACCTACTAGACAATACCATCTCGGAACTCAAGCAAAAATACAATATCGACATTAAATTTATAGCCAAATATGTGGATGACATCTTTGCTATAATTAAACGCAATGACGCGAATATCATTCTAGGAATTCTTAACAAGTATCACAATAAACTTCAATTTACGATGGAAATAGAGGAAAATTCAAAAATCCCTTTCCTTGACGTTTGTATACATAGAGAAAACCACGATCTTTTACTTGACTGGTATTCCAAACCAACTTCTTCTGGACGCCTGATTAATTATTACTCATCGCAACCAACAAAATATAAGATAAATACAGCAAAAAACCTCATCCATAAAATATTGACAATAAGCCACACACGATTCCACGAAGCTAACAAAGAGAAAATCAACAAAATCCTAATAAACAACAATTACCCTGTAAACTTAATACGGGAATTAATAAATCAAGAAGTTATGAAAACAAGCATCCATCCCAATAAAACACCGAACACAGACACAACAAAAACTACTAAGAAATTTTACAGTGTAACATACATTCCCAACTTAACTGGCAATTTTGGTCACAGCATAACGAAATCACGAAACACAGCACTTGCCTACAAATCTAATTACACTCTGTCGTCAATATACACAAAAACTAAGTGCTCAGTAGATATCCAACAACAAAACAATGTAGTGTATGAAATTAAATGTAAGGGAAATGAAATTGAGGAATGCGAAAAAGTGTATATTGGGACAACTAAGCGGCCTTTAGGTGTTAGACTAGGCGAACATGAAGCAGATATAAGAAAACAAAAAAGCAGTACAGCATTATCACAACACATCATAACAAGTGGACATACAGCTGATTTCGCAAACACAAAGATTATCGACAAAGAAAGAAGGGAGTCAACCCGATATACACTAGAAAGCCTTAGGATAATGCAAAGAAGGAAAAAGACAATGAACAGAAAAGAAGATACGGACAACATTGCGGCCGCTTACATTTCTTGTTTATGATTAGAAATAAAAATGTTTATTATTTTAGTATTGACAAAGCTACCACAAAAGATGGTACAGATGCGCTGTATTTAGGTGTTAATCAAAGTTCGTAAACATTGTGAGTTTTTTGTCCTCAAATTGTTGTTTATAATTTTTAATTCCATATATGTATATGTATGTTTGTATGCTATATTCATTAATTTTTAATTACAATGAGCCTTTGTATTTTTGGTTTGTGGCAGATTTAATAAAGCTGGATTGCCCCTGAAGATGCTAAAAATGTTATAGCGAAACGTTGGGCCAGAAAGTGGAATAATGTAGTTTTATTCGCACTAAAAACATAGATCAGACTAGCCTGGTAACATAATATTTAATAAATTACGAACTGATCGGACAATAAAACATATGATTAGAACTGACATTCATTCGACCAACCCAATACAGTTTTATTTTTTTTTGTATTCTTTTATAAATAGTCTAAGAAAAAATACACCTGCAAGAACTTGAGTGCCACATGTAATTTTCTCTCAAACTTTACCCTGCTGACAAATGCAAATAAGGATTGCCACCTGTATAAGTAAATTTGATTTATAAGATAAATAAAATATTACTATACAAACTAAAATGTTTTAAGAGAGCTTACGCCACTAAATATTTTTTGAAGTGGTTTGTCACATATTTGAAAATTTTAATTCAATTAAGTGCCGTTTTCTCAAATAGTCTTTCCTGACGGCCATCATTTAACACTATTCGCACTTATAAAAGCTATGTGGGAGCTCGCGTTGCGCCCGTTCGCATCGCTGCTTGCTACTCCTCATCGTACTAATTGTTCTTTCGGCCTCGCCGATATCCGACTACTTCTTCGCATATGTCGGTTTGTTGAAGAGTGCTCTCTGAGAGCAGGTGTGAGAATCGAGTAGTGGATGCATTGCTAGTCTGTTGTTACTGCAGCTTTTCGACGTTAAGTATTCCTTGCATTTTTGGGCGCACATATTTTTCTACACAGATGCGGGTGCGTATCTCGGCGGCAGTAAGAAAGTGGTAGGACTCGATGTTTGCCCTCGGATTGTACGTACATCTAAAACACTGAAGCTTCCTTCTTTCAATCACAAGAGAATCGATTTGGTTTCTCGTTTTTCGAACTGGATACAGCCATGTAGTTTGATGGATCTTTTTTTATGCTGCAACCTAGTACTACATAATACCATGTTTGGGGCCCCGGCGAAGTAGATCAGCCATTATCGATAGTTTCGTGTTGGAGGCTTCATTTGCGCACAGTGGCGCCAAATGCCCCTTCCTACGAGTTTCATATCGAGACGGGGGCAACACTCATATGTACGCGCCAATCGCTCATAGAAGAAATTCTTGCACGTCTCGTCCTTCTCTTCCGTCGGGGCATGAGCCTAAGCAGATGACCGCTATGATGCGGATTTTGGCTAGACGTTCGGCCACCGGGGTCAACGATAGTACTCGGCGACGGAGTCTCCGAAAAAAAAAAACGATAACTGATGTGAACTGTTTATTAGTGCCGCACCGAATATTCGGGATACCGAAAAGTTCGGCCAAAAGTTCGAAGTTTCATTCTTTGGCAATCGAGCCGTCAACTTCTCGAAAGATTAAAGAAACTTCGATTCGAACTTTTCATTCAGGCATTTTATTTTGGAGGGTGTAGAAATCTGGCTCATATTACATCTAAAAAGGAGTCATTAGAAAATTTAATATTTTAGGAATTATTTTTATTTTTATAAATTTCTTCTTTTGTTGTGCGGATTCTGATTGGAGTCAAAAGTATAGATGAATTTGGGTAGCCTGCATCTACGACTACGTTATGTTCAGATTTGCTTTCCAACAAACGAGTATTTAGTTAGCAGTGGTCTCAGTGCCCAGCGTCATGTCTGGAGTCACATGGCCTTGCAACTGTGTCAATAATCTTACGATCTGCATCACAAACAATCAATGCACATTATTATCGCATTTACTTATAACATGGTGGCGTTTTTTGGGTTAGTAACTAGAACATTTAGAGAAAGGTGTCGACTCTTTAATGCTCTAATTTACTTTGAGCCGACTTTAGTGTGACTATGACTACAGGCCCTTATCTTTACTTTAATAAAGAGCGTTCTTTTTTAAGCTAACATACATTTCTTTGAGCTAATTTAGCATAGATTTGTAATGCATGTAAATTTATGAAATCTTCTGCATACTCTGCTCTTCCAGATCCTGCCAAAGTGACCTTCACACCCACTGTACAGTATCTACCCTTCCGTTTGGCGGGCGTCGTTCAATGTTACATCAAATCCAATCCTACACTACAATATGTCACCTGGACCAAAGATAAGCGCCTCCTTGAGCCGTATCAAATGAAAGACATTGTCGTGATGGCCAACGGATCATTGCTTTTTACGCGCGTCAACGAGGATCATCAGGGCCGCTACACCTGCACACCGTACAATGCGCAAGGCACTCAGGGCTCGTCCGGTCCCATGGAGGTGCTGGTGCGCAAGCCGCCCACATTCACCGTCGAACCCGAATCGCTGTATCAGCGCAAGGTGGGCGACAGTGTGGAAATGCATTGCGATGCCATCGAAGCGGAGGGCACACAACGACCAACCATCAAATGGCAACGGCAAGATGGCGGCGAATTGACCGAATCACAACGTACGCGCGCCAAGGTGTCTGGTGGCAATATAACAATTGAAAATTTACGCGGCGAAGACTTTGGCTACTATCAGTGTGTCGTCTCGAATGAAGTGGCCACATTGATGTCAGTGACACAGCTGGTTATCGAAGGTACACAACCACATGCGCCATACAACATCACCGGCAAGGCGACTGAGTCGTCGATTACGTTGCAGTGGATGCCCGGCTATAGTGGCGGCTCTGAGTACAAGCAGGACTATACGATTTGGTATCGCGAGGTTGGCGCTGCTGACTGGCAGACCATTTCGGTGACCCCATTGGGCAGCACGCAAGTGACGATCAATGGCTTGGCTTCGGGTACTACGTACGAATTTCAGATAGTCGGTCGAAATGTGCTCGGCGATGGACTGATGAGCAAGGTGATGACGGTGCGAACTTTAGGTGAGTTAAAGTTTTAGTCAATTTCTTCTTGTTATTTTTTAATTCTAAAGCATCATTGCACAATCTGTAAACATAAAAATGCAAAGAAAGTGAGGAGAGTGCGTCGTATGGGTGAAGGGGGAAAAGGTGAAGTAACTAAAGAAAACAAGTATTTTAATAAATAATTAGTATTGAGAATTGGAAAGGTGCATAAAAAAAATTTGTTCCTCCACTCAAATTTCGGTATTAAAAATGTTTAAGGTAAATTTTATCTGTGAATTTAAATAGGTTTTAAAGCGTTTTATTAAAATTTTCCATTTTGAAAAAAAAAATTGTTTCGTGCTAGTCAACATACTGAAAATTCAGAAATTTTAAGACTTTATAAAATTGCCTTATTTTTTTAAATTATCTTTTAATGATTTAGAATTTTTTTTAATAACTGATTTTTTTTAATAATTCAGAAAAAAATATTTGTATTTTTTAAATAGAGAAAATTTCTTGTAACTACTTCAATAATTTAGCAAAAAATCACTCCACCCCTCACACTCATTTTCTTTGCATTACTATCTATAAAACTATATTTAACGAAAACAAAAATTCTTGCATTTTCTCTCTTTTTCTCTCTTTCCTCAACAACATTTATATAAATATCAATGCATTGATTTATGTGCCACTCATATAACTCTATCATCATCTTTCGTGTTAAACTGAAACCATAAAAATTTCAAAAAAAAAACTAAATACAAATTATTTTGAATCGCTAAACATTCACAACTACAACAAAATCGAACAACAAAATAAAACAAATATGGACATTTGAATTTCAATGAAAAATTGCAAATTCAAATGCCTTTAGAAGATGCTCCGGCAGCGCCACGTAATGTCAAGGCTGCAACACAACCGCCAGATCATATTTTTCAACTAATGCCAGACGAAGCTGGTAAGCGAACGAACACGTCTCCCGAATAAGAAAAAATTTTAAATTCAATTTGCAGAGAACCTAGCGCTACGTTGGGCAATGTATTTCGATTTAAGTAATAAGAAAATTGTTTTTAATCGAAGCATTGTCCAGTAGTAGGTTTTTTTTTAATTCTGGTTTACGTTTTTAACCTTTGCTTTCATTTAAGTTTTTGTTTTGGTTAGATTTTAAAGCTCTTCGCTTGTTACATCGGTGTGGTTATTATGCAAGGCGTTTTCAACAAGTTAATAGTGGATAAGCTCATACGATTAAATTGACTATGATCTAAGAATTCTTTCCATTCTTTTCCATGATTTTTATTTTTTTTTTATTTGAAGAGCTCAGTCTTCTTTTGGACGATTCTCATTTATGATTTAGTCAAGGCGAATTAATATAAGGTGATAGCGGAAGTACAAAAAAAAATTTACATGATTTGATTTTTGCTTTGGCTGCGTAAACTGTAAAAATCTGTGAGAGTGTGTGTGGAAATGCAAACAGAATTTTTCAATTTGACATTCGAAGCCGTAAAATTCATACACAAAATCAGCTGCTCTAGTAACAACACCTTATGTAAAGTCGCCTTGGATGTAGTTTTAAATATGAATTTTCTCTCACTTTATAGTTTAAAATTTTTGGTATGTGTATGGGTAACTTTTTTCATATAAATAATAAATCGGGGCATACGAAAACTGACTCGAGTTCAAATCAAAAGTTAACTTCGTAAAGAGACGCGTAAAAAAACTCCGGCGAAGAAAGACGCGTAAATCTGTTTGACGGCGAAGAAGCACACGTCATCAAAATTTATTTGAATATTCGCTTTTTAGGCTTCGGTCACGCTTTTTTATAGCGTCTTTCTTCGCCGTCATTCTTTTTGGCCGTCAAATCACTCGTGTGTGTTTCTTCGTACTCTCCGACGAATAATTATTATAGTTAAAGGTACTCTCACCTTCGTAGTTTGCTGCGATATCACTGTAGTCTGTCAACCATGTAGTACATAATTCTGGTCAAGAAATACTCAGGCATAACCGAAAGAGAGGTCAGGCATTCGACAGCCAGCTTTGAGCGCACTGTGCCCAGGGCTCAAATTGTCGGTCGACCCCTTGGCGTGTGGTGATAATTCGCTTGATAAGTCCATGGTACCATCCCAAACTCTCACAGCTTGGAGGTGGTCCAAGCTTTTCCCAGTCCACCGGAGCACTCCTACAGTTTGGTAGCCATGCGAAGGTCTGCATGAACGATTATCGCCGTAGTGGCTCGCCGTTAGACCTATTAGGATGCTCACGACCACGAGTCCCCATAAAGGAAGACGTGAGGCTCTTTTTGGTGGTGGTTATTTCGTCCTATACTGTTTCCTGAGGTACCAAGTTCGATGTCGCATGTGTAGTTTTTTACACAACGTTAACCTTGGTGATCTTTCGTCATCACCTTCCTTGAGAATTTCGCGAATTTGGGGGCCGATTTCGGTGCACCACAGCGGCTTGCAGCCGGTATTGCCCTGTCGACTACAGAATACGATTTTGAGTCATCGGAAGTGGTGTTCTCCCTTGTCGAGATATTGGCTTCGAGAATAAATTTCGACCCTCGAGGTTGTTGTTGTCGCTTCTGTTTTGGTTATATTTTGTTTAACTTTCAGTTTTAAGGCATGTCAAATCCCCGCATGTGTAGACGCACATAGTTGCTAGAATTGGTTTTGCGGTTATGCCTAGACGGGGCCATGACAAAAGTCAAAGCCAAGCCCCTATAGGGTCATAAGTTCAGAGCCTGAGCAACGCTTAACAGCAGTCATCTGAACTCCAGCAGCATCATCAACTTAAGGGTGATCCGGCTTTGAATGTATTTACACAATTTCATGGCCATTTTCGCAAAGTTTCACCTCAGCGTAATCATAGCTAAAGAAGGCAGTGAAGGCCGCAAAATATTTTACGTTACACAGCTCAACGCTGGCTGACTAAATCGCATCGTAAATTGATTATTTGGTGGCCGGCACTTATTTCAAAGCAACATAATCAAAAAGAAACCAATTAACTCTAAAAAATTAAAAATTTTCCTTTTTAATGTCAACGCTAGTTTTCGCGGTTAATTTTGCAACTATATTTTAAAGATATCTTAGTTTTCTTAGCTTATATTAAC